AAAAAGCACTTTAAGTATTTTTTCCCCCCCAAAGTTTCTATGGCTGTAACTCAAGAAGTATTAAAGATATCGTAATATTCATTTAATATCTTAATATCCAAACTGTTCTTTTTTTTAAACCGTTCTTTGTTCATTTTTATGCCCCCCCCCCCCCTCTACAAAATAGTGTATTTCTCAGTAAATATTGATCCACATTGTGAACACATTGGCCAATCAGCAGTGTTTAAGAATCGGCTCAACAGCGCTCAAATGTTAGCGGGTAATGGACATTTTTTAAATTTCAGTACCGACTGGTACCGAAGTCGGTACTTTTGACAACACTATTGAAAAATAAAAAATGTTGGGCAGGACTTGGTTCAATCTACCGGCTGTTGATTGGATGGAAGCAGAGCTGAATGGGGCGGGGTTAATGAGGACTAAATGATTGGAGAAGTCTGGGATGCGTCACCAAAAAGAAGATTGTGACATCTTGATTAAAAATTAAGAGGTCAAAACATTTCTTTTAAAATGAAACAAATGCATGGATGAATTGTTCACAATAAGATCATTTAGAAAATAGATTACGTGCCAACTTTAAGGGGGTTGTAAGGCTAAACCTGAAGTCGAGTCACTATAGAATTCAACTGATGTACTTGCAATCTTAAAACAGCTTAAAACCGGCTCATCCAATCAGAACTTAAAGTGGGAACTATTGGCTTCACCTTGTGACTTGATTTGCAAATAAGCTGTTCTCTTACCCTTGAAGAGGTGCGGTATAGCCACAGCACCCAGACAGCACACCCGGTTACGTGCGGTAGCAGCAAGCGCGGCAGAGGCGTCGTTTCCGCTGGCATTCGTTGGCGTCAAAATGACCAGTTTGAGCAACCGCGCCCTCTCGAGCTCCAGGTTAAAGGTGTGGTTTAGTGGGAGACACGCCCCTCGACAGGTGAGCAGGGATGTTCGAGCTCGGGTCACCCCGTCCACTTGAATGGCACAGAAGACTTCTTTAGTAGCGTCGTTCCGAGGGGATCGTAGCAGCTCATCGACGCCCAGCAGATGCACCGTGAGCAGCCCTGACAGTCTCTGTGCGCAGCGAGGATGATCTGCCAGCGAGTACAAGCGGAACGACTCTGCGTCTGCCACAGCAAGTGAATCCTGTGGTCCATGGTGCGGTGGTGGTGTAGGTGACCCTTTTGACCCCTGACCCGAGCCCTGCTTTGGCAAGAGTTCTGGTGAGTCTCCATCACTAAGATATCCTCCTTTACTAGCAGAACGCGTTCGAGAGGATCGACGCCTTGGCCTTGCGGGAGCACTGGAATCCAGGTGATACTTGCTGATGACGTTGGACGATTCCTTGCGTGCATTTGGTGGTGAAGCCTCATCGGACGCTCCCGGTGCACTGCCGGCATTCCCTTGTCCGTTGCGCTGATTACGGGATGAGCGTAGGCTAAGCTTCCGTCTTAGTTCCGGAAGCTTACGCATCTTCATAGAAAGCCGTCGCACTGTTCCTGGAGACTTGATCTTGTCAATCACACTGCTTCCACTTCCACCCTCTCCTGGGCTTTTCTTTTGTGCCCCGGGACTGTCAGATTTCACACCACTAGCAGAGCTAATACAGTCCGACTGTAGCACAATCAGATCTGAACCGAAAGAAACACACAATGTTAGAAACAAGGAATTTAACCTTTAAGATGGTCCTGAACCTTTAAGAAGCCCTGACAGGCAAGTAGAAGTATCTAGTATTCCAAAACCTAGTGAAATGCCTTGCTGAAGACCTTCATTAGCTGGTCAAGGTGTGTTTAATTAGGGCTGGAGATAAACTCGTCTAGAACAGAGGTTCTCAACTCTGGCCTGCGATCCACTTTGTTGCAGAGTTTAGCTCCAACCTTGATCAAACTCACCTACCTATAACTCTCTAGCATTCCTGAAGATCTTGATTAGCTTGTTCGGGTGTGTTTGATTAGGGTTGGAGTTAAACTCTCCAGGAAAGTGGACCTCAAGGGCCAGAGTTGAGAACCCCTGGTCTAGAATATGAGCCTCCAGGAGGAGGATTGGACACCCCTGTCATAAACTGATTTGGAACACTCGTCATCAGGGGTGGGCAACTCTGGACCTCAAGATCCACTTTCCTGAAGAGTTGAACAAGCTAATCAAGTTCTTCAGGATTACTAGAAAGTTACAGACAAGTAAGGTTTAACAGAGTTGGAGCTAAACTCTACAGCAGGAGTGTCCAATTCTGCTCCTGGAGAGTCACTGTCCTGCAGAGTTTAGCTCCAACCCTAATCAAACACACCCGAACCAGCTAATCAAGGTTTTCAGACTCACTAGAAACTTCCAAAAATAATGGAGCTAAACTCTGCAGGACGCTAGCCTTCCAGAAGCAGGTTTGGACACCCCTGGTCGACGGGACAGTGAGCCTTTGAAAGTGAGCCCAGCCCTTCTCTACATCAGTGGTTTCCAACCACATTCCAGGAGCCCTCCAACACTGGACATTATGCAGTCTCTTTTGTCTGAGACACACATTTTAGGTCTTGGAGTCTCTACTAATGAGCTGATGGATAATCAGCAGACATGCAAAAATGTGCAGTGTTGGTGGGATTCCAGGAAAGTGGTGGGGAACCACTGCTTTACATCAGAGGTGGGCAACTCTGGACCTCAAGATGCACTTTCCTGCCAAGTTTAACCAGCTAATCAAGTTCTTCGGGTACTAGGAACCTACAGACAGGTGAGTTCCATCAGGGCTGGAACTAAACTCTGCAGAACAGTGGGTTTTCGAGAGCCAGAGTCGCCCAGCCCTTCTCTTGGCTCACACACCCATTTCAGTTTGGAGTCTCTAATGAGCTGATGACCTGAGTAAATTTTTTAATTATGTTGAACTTTCTGTGACGCACTCTGGAATTGCCTTCTCCATGACTGCTGCAATAAAATGTGGCCAAAAAGAAGGTTTCTTAGAAGGCAGAATAATTATAATTATGCAACCTACCTTTTGGAACAGCCTTCACCTCTCTGGCACACCTAAAATGCTATCTAGGTAGGCAGGTCACTAGGTTTTAGGAAAATAACTTCTAATTATATGCAATGTGGTTGATTCCCATCCTATTTTTGAACAACATTTCAACTTACTAACTTACTATAAATATTGTTTCAAAACAGCACTGCTCATTTTAACCTCAGTTTTAAGACCAGCTGTGTGAAGTGCAAGTATGCTGGCAATGCAGCTTAACTTGTGACAAACTCTTACATAATAGAAAGCCTGACCATACCCAAACTTTCCGCCCTGATGATGT